TCCTTCCTTCCTGCCTTCCTTCTTTCCTCCCTCCCTCCCTCCCTCCCTCCCTCGACACACTGCTTTGCAGGAATGTGGTTTCACACCTGTCTTCTTTGTCAACCAAATTCCAAAAGGGTAATTTCTTCCATAACTTGGTTTAGATTTGTGAGCTATGCAAGTAGGGGAAAGGGAAAGGTCCCATTCTGAAATCTACTATATTGTTTGTGAGGAGGTCTTTAAGTAATTAAATATTTATTGGAAACGTCTTGCTTCTAGTCTTTAAATTAAGATATTCTGATTTCATCATGATCTTTCCTGAGCTCCTTCAGTAGTATCTGGGAAGTCTAATACTGAAGCACTTATACGTCTGGTTTATAAACCTCAGCAGAAGACATAGAAGTAAACCTTTGAAGCCCTTACTAGGCACCATAAAGCCCAAAAAAGGGACTGTTTTCATTCCTGTGTAAACTAAAACTGATTCTGAAAGCTAAGAATGAGATTTCCTAAATGTGCTTTAAAAATATATATATATTTAAAATAAAAACTTTCTTTGATTTACATGGTTTAAAATAGTAATTTTGAACGGAGGGGCTCTGACAAAAATATTTCTGTTATTAGTTGTCCCCATCTACTCCCAACCCTAGGTTATTATTTGCTCCCTACATTCATTGACTGGGTAAAACAAAAGTAACCTTCTGTTTTAATTTTATAATCTCTACCACTTTCCAGGATAGCCTTGGTGGTAACAGCAAGACTGCCATGGTAGCAACAGTAAGCCCAGCAGCAGACAACTATGATGAGACCCTTTCAACACTGAGGTACGCAGACCGGGCCAAGAACATCGTTAACCATGCCGTGGTGAACGAAGACCCCAACGCGCGCATTATTCGGGAGCTCCGTGAGGAAGTGGAGAAGCTGCGAGAACAACTCACAAAAGCAGAGGTAGGAATTTGAGTCTTGACTGGCCCTTGGCTGCAGCCAGCACAGGCGTTCTGCCACTTCCCCCCAGCCCCAGGGGATAGGGGA